CCCCCCCCCCTCCCCCCATTGTTCCCCCCGTCTAGGGCGATATATATTTTGCTACGATAGGTACAAGAATCGTTGGCATACCTCGGTCCGCATCGCTTGTACCACTACCATCACACGTGGGGCGCGTTTGTGCATGTGCAGCGGGGCGGTTTCTGAAAGGCGTATTTGGGTCTCTCGTTTCTTTCCAGTTGTGCCTAACAGGGGTGTTTTTTCACGCATGCACCCCTGTCCCTTGTTCTTCTGTCTTGTACCATGAATGCTCGCAGGGACAACGACGCGATATGATACATGTATCGTAGTGTGCAATATCCCATATCGGCATATCGTACTGCTGTGCAAAACCTTTGGGCCAAGGCCCCTGGATCACGGAGATGTCGTCTCCCAATCATCAACATAACCCTACGGGTGATGCCGAAGGATACCAAGGAGAGGCCGCAAGGTGTTCGACGGGAAGCCAACACAATAGCGACACCCACAACAACAACAGCAGCAGAGGCAGCAGCAGCAACATCAACAACCATAGCAACAACAGCGGTAGCATCAACAACAACAGCAGCAGCAGCAACAGCGACACCCACAGAGGCAGCAACAGCAACATCAATTCGTAGTGGACAGGTCCTTCAGGTGAAAAGCCCCACCTTCCTTCCAGGCAAATCCCGAGCTCCACCGTGAGAGCTTTCGCGTAACCCCTGCACAGCGACACTATCTTCTCGGCGATCATCGAGCTCCCAACGTCTGTGCCCCCCCCCCAAGACCCCAATCCGTAAGCCATTCATCATCCGACCGCGCCACGCCACAGAAAACAGGCCAAGCGTTCCGTTTCCAGCGAAAGGCGTGAGGCGTCATTGTTGAGTCGCCCGTTCGCGCCAAGAGGTGTGCGATAACGACGATTGCGGAGAAGCGGAGAAGATGAGACAGGCAAAAGCAAAAGCAAAAAAAAAGGAAGGGAAGGGGGGGGAGGAAGAAGGGCGGAAGAAAGGAGGAAGACAAAACGAGGTGAAAGGTTAAGAAGGACAAACATTGTTATCGGGGGGGGGGGGGGGGGGGGGGGCTAAAAGACCGAAAATTACGGTTCGGTAGAGAGGGGAAAGANGGGGGGGGGGGGGGGGGGGTTGTCTCTTCTCTATTCCGTCTGTCCTCACACAAACTGGTCTGATATTTCTGCCACCAACATCCTGCCAAAGTTTTCGGTGGCGTGACGACTTGGAGCTACTCACAACCCGCACCATGGCAAAAGGGAATGCCATGCAGACCGCAGACTGCCCTCCCTTGTTGCGACCGCCCAGTGCAAACCTCAAGGTTTTCGATGAAGCCAAGTCGACCGGCCTTGACCACTCGATCGACATACACCACTTCGATACATGGCCAGAACCAAACACGTCCTGTCGCCCCCTCCCCCCCAAACCCCCCCTTCATACAGAAGGCGAGGAGCTCAAGCACCCCACCGGTCGTTACAACAAAACCTATTACGTACGGACACCTCATCTCAAAAACACCGGGCTCACCAACGTCCGTCTCCACGTAGCCGGCCCCCCGGAAGTACCTCTGGCTGACCTTGCGCCCCAGCAGTGCGGGTTTGTTTCCCACGGCCTTGCGGACGATAAACGGCCCGGAGACCACGCTCGGGATCAGCTTGAACCTGTCCATGTGCCAGTTCGTGTGTTAGGCACCACCACCACAACCAAGTTTCAGGCGCCCCCGACGAGATGAACTGAGCATACAACTCTCCATTCTCTCAATATATATATATATATATATCTCACGTTGTTGGATGAACCTCTGTGTGTCATCGCTCAAGCACAGAAGCAGGCGCCTACACCTCACCGCTGGTTCCGGAAGTCATCCATGGGCAACAGCCCCGCGGGGTCGCTGTTGCGATCCGCGGGCGCCCCGCCCAGGCTCCCTCCGCGCGACACCGCCCCTGTCGACAACGCCTCCGCGCCAGCATCCGCAGCTCTCACGGCCGCCGGCGGTCCGTTTCCCCCGTCAAACCCGGCCACCCCGGCAAGGGGAAGGGGGGAAGAAGAAGCAGAAGCATTTTCCTCGTGCCGCGGCTGTCGCTCTTCTTCTCGTGAGGGAGGCGACCGGGTTGGTGGGGGTGCGGAGGAGGACAACGGGGTCGGGGAGGGGGAAGAGGAGGAGGAAACGCTGGTTCTCGCCGCCGTCGGAGCAAGGGACGAGGAAGAGGAGGAAGAAATAGAAATACAAGGAGGGGGAGAAGGGGAGGAAGGAGAACGAGTGCGTTCGAGCTTCTTGTAGCCCGACCCGGGCACCTCAGCGTACCTGGTGACAGCAATAACGGAAGCAGCAGCACAAGGCCACGTGAACGAGGCACACAGAGCGGGGGGGGCAAGTGATCAGCACACGTGCTTCGTAAGGCCTGCGCCTCGTTCTCTCCTTGCCCCGCACAAGCCAAGCAAACGCCGAACGTCCCCTCCTTCGCGAACAACATCCAGAATCCACCGCCCCCTCCCCCAAGTCCTGCACTGCCATGTGCCACGCTGCACCCGTCAGACATCTTCCTGTCTACGACAACACCACCCACCCCAAACGTCACCGATTCCAGCAAATAAAGAGCCGTCAGACGCCGAGCATATACCTCGCAAGCATCGCAAGAAACGTGTTGCGGCGAGCGCTATCGCTGCCGCCCGCGGGTACAGGGGAAGAAACCCCCTCCTCGCCGAGATCAACCCCTTCCCTCTGCTGAGTAGTCTGATCCAGGGCCAAGTACATTACAGTGGCCACGACGGGGTTGCCGGGCACCAAGATGTTGAGGATGAAGAGGAACGGGGCGGCCTCGCCCTTGTCCTCGTAGCTCTTCAGGAAGGCGGACACGCGATCTCGGCACCTGCAATTTACAGAGATCGTGGCAGTTATGTCACCACGAGGAGCGAGGTACATACAAGACTGGGTTCGCGAACGTTTGGCGCAACACTGACGTAAAATGAACACGCGGGAGGGGGAGGGGCTGGAACCGCAGTGGTTCCCGCCAGTGCTTACTCCTCACGACCAGTCTTTTGGTATCGGCTAGAACCTTAGTTGTTCCCACCAGTGGTGTGTACTTGTACGCACTACCAGATTTTAGCGCTAAAGATATCCAGCGCCTGCATCTGACTACCTACACGTTTCACACGGTCGCGGTCGAGGGAGACCAACCCCAGAGAAGTTACCGCAGAAAACATCACCTGCCCTTCGAAGCCACGTGGAACACTTCCCCCTCCACCGAGAAGAAGTCTACGTGAACCAGACGCATTGCCGCAGGACCCGCGGGAATCTGCGCCGATGTCGATGACAAAACGACGGGAGCTCGATCAAAAGAAGAAGGCCTCCTGTCGGAAGCAGCCGGTTAGTTGTGGCCCAACGTGCCCACCGCCCCACGTATGGCGAAACATGCGCAATGAGATTCGTAGGTGCGATCGTGTACGTACTACCGGGTGGTGAGTTCGAAAATTTAGGTCGATGCGGGCACAAGAAAGAAAAATGAGCTAGGGGACCGCTGCAAATAAATACGGGCCAAGAGGGCGCATGGGCCTGTTCCATCAATGACTGAAGTCCGTCGGAGTGCGGCTCGTTTTTGAGTTGGGGGTTGTGATATCTATTTAGCGACCACAATCTTGTGCGCCGCTGAGGTCCCGACGAATCGAAACGGATTGCATGATTTCGGCAATATTTGCATCTTGCGAGCTGCTCGCCCCCGACACAACAGCACTGCCGCAAGCCCGCGGTCAAATGGGACTGCTGCGCCAACTTTACGGAACACGCCAGCATAGGTTTCCATCATCATGCACGAGAGGTTAACCCATCCCCTGGAGTTGGACGAGTTTTGTAAGTGCTTGTAGCGGCATGTGTATCGACGTCAGTGTCGCCTGCTGTAGCCGTATTTCCTTGCATGCCCGAGCAGTACCGTCCCAGCAGTGCACGTATATATCGCGCTATTAATACAGCAGTAGTGCCAACATCGAGAAGTTAGACCCGACACAAATGAAGTTCTGGCTCGCCTGGAAGCTGTATGTACTACGTACAACACTGGATCCACACAAGAGAACGAGCAGAAGTGCGCATCTCGAAGGAGACCAGAACTGTGTACCAGGTATATACCTGGCAGATAGACTCACCACCGCATGTACAGATGAATCTCACCTTTTTCCTGTCCGATATGTACTTGGGTCCCCTGACGAGGAACTGACACCCGGGGCCCCCATCCTCCCAGAACCGCCGCAACTCCGCGGGAGCGTCGGCGAAACACGTCCCTACTCCATCCCCACCACCACCCCCTTCCCTTCTTCCCGTCTCCTCGCCTCCGGCGGCGGCGGCGGCGCCCTCCCTATCCCCAGCCGTTTCACAGGCTGCGGCGGATGATGCCGCCGCCTCGATCGTCTGGTCGCCACCGCTGACGGGAGCACCAAGAGCGGCGGCGGAAGGAGGAGCATTGGAAGGAGGCTTTCTTACAGCAGGGGCGCCGCTCCAGCGGCGGGCGGCGGAGAGGATGAGCCCCGCGCCGACCAGGCCGGCGAGCTGCCGCCACAGGAACCGGACGCCCAGGCCCGCCGCCACCAGCATGACGGACAGCAGTAGGTAGCGCTCCAGCGGGCTCCGAAGTTTGCTGTTGTTGCCGGCGACAACAGGAGCAGCGGAGCCCGAAGTCGCGTCCGTTGCTGCTTGCGTTCTGGGGCGCTGCGTGGGGACGGTGTTGCTGCTGCTGCTGTCACCCTTGTCTTTTCGTCTACGGGAGGGTTCCGGGCGAGACGCCGCGCCCGTCGAATCGAGGCCTCGAGGCGCCGGCGAGGGCTCTACTACGCTGCCCGCGTTGCTGTTGTCCTTGTTGCGTCTTCGAAAGGTTAGATCCGAGCGAGACGCCGCCGCCGCCGGGCCGGCCAAGTCGAGATCTCGCGGCGCTGACGAGGGCTTCACCATCGGAGTGGGTTCGGCTCTCCACGCGAAGATAGCGCCTTCTGGGCTACAAGTAGGGTGCTTCAGCGGAGAAGGTCAGTACGTAGACTCCTCTCGTTGCGGCTGTTGCTGTCGGTTACTTTCCACCTGTGAGGTTCAGTTCTTCGGGTAGGTCCACCGGACTGAAGTGCACGAAAATGTTAGTGGTGAATCTTCGGACCAGAAAACGTGCCCTAGAACATTACCTACTCGTGCAGGGTGCAGGGTGTAAGTTCGAGATCAGTGGTGGATTTACTGTGCTTGCTCTTCAGTCTTGCTGTGCTTGTTCTTGCGTGCGGCAGTGGTGGGGACGCTGGAGTGGGACGCCGAATCCAGTACCCCCTATTTTCATTCCACGGGTCCCCCCGATTGCGCCGCGTCGGCTGATGCAGGCATCAAGCAGTTTTCACAAGCCCACCAGCACCCACCGCGCTCCTCGTTCCCCGCCTGGGGTCTTTTTGCAGAGTTCAGATACCCTTAGTGCCTCCCCTTACAGAAATGGCACCGACGACCTAAGTCGCAGCAGATGTAGCTGCTCTTCTTTTATCATCGCAAAGATGATTGAGAATGACCGCAACAAATGACGCACATCAAACACTCGCTACATTTCTTGTTTGTATGCAGGACTCCTCTCAAGTTGAAAAGATCTTGACCGGTGTCAAGGTGACATTTGCGGTTGATGACGGCGAAGGTGTTGCTGCCCTACACCTTTCCGTGGCGCTCGAAAGAACGGGAAAGTTCAATCAAGGACGGAAATAGCAGGTGCTGGAAGCGCCGGTGCAGACCCCGACCCCACGGCGGTTGCTTCTCAAATGGTACTACACCACGTAGCTGTGCGTAACGCGGGGTTCCAGGAGAAAGGATCTCTCCATGCAACGGCCTATTGGCCGCATGTATTCACCGTGGCCATCTTCATTCGATACTTACCATGGCCATCTTTGTTCGAACCCATACAGCCGTACAGTCCTTCACGTCTCGGCTCCATCCGGCGGCGAGGCGTCCGCAGGGAATAATTCCGCAGCAAATCCAGGTCGCGTTTTCTGCCATTTACCTTTTCAGCACCATGCAACATTTGTGCATGGGCAGGCGATCAAAGATTTGGACGGCACGTGGTTGCAAAATACTTGACCCAAAAACGTCACATACATGTGCGATGCAGCAAATACTGCTGCTGCTGAGTAGCCTGCGCTGGAGACGAGATCCTCTCCAACATCGATCTGTCAAAACCGATGCTGACAGGACGTTGCCTTGATGATGAAGCACAGCAGTACGTGCTTGACGCCGAGGGGCATCAAGCAAACCACAAAAAGCACGCACATGATCCGGTCAGGGTAGCAGCATTGATTGCCTCGTAGATGGGTGTGCCATGACCTCTGAGCGATTCGACGACCACTGAAAAATGTGTGCCGCTCATGTGTGGTGTGTGACGCACAATTTGACGATAAGAAGAAACGGGGAACGGCCTAACAGGAGCATGTGCACCGTAGCGCTCAGCAGGCACAGCACCAACGACCCCTTGATATGCCCGGCACTCCAAAACAAATCCTGCTTAGTTCCAGCCTCATGAAACACACACGGCATTTATTATGCTAGGGTTAGGAGAGACAAAAACACAAACGAACGAGAGACCACAACCCCTCGCGAGTAGAAAACAAAAACTACACACCAAACATGAAAAACGTCAGGAAGCGACTCATCACGAAACCCGAGGACGCCTCAGCAGCGCCGAGCGCTCAAATATCGGTGCACATGCCCCCCCTACCCCCCCAAAACCCGCTCTCCTCGGTGCACCTGTGTTCCTCTTGAGCACCGCTGGCATGAAGAGGAGTCAAGGGCGCTGTGTTGGCAGAGAAGAAAGCCTGTTTACACTTGATTTCCTTCGAATTTCCCACGTCGGTCCTGCCGTGTGCGCACACTAAGCTGGTGCGCAGGGGACACACACCCACAATTGTGGTGCACATTATGTGCCACCGCCGTTCCCTGGCTACAGTATACCGAGTCTGGGTGATACAAGACGCTTTTCACCAAACGCGAGACACAACATACTTCATGCAGCAGCCGTCCGTCGGGAACTACGGTGCACACCAAGGGGCAGCAAAATCAACAAAAAGCTCGTCTTACGTTGGCCGCGCTCCTTCCGATCAAGCTGCTCTTCAGAGCTACAACCTTATAGCGATGGAAACACCCGCTCATACCCCAAAGTGTAACCTGTGCCTGCCTCCCCTCCCTCGCCCAGACACTCGAAAACCCGAGTAACGCCACCGTACATTTTTTGCGTATGCCCCCACAAACAAGGCCTATTTTGACGCATCCTATCAGCAGCTCTCGAGCAGAGCCTTGGAGAAGATACATACACATATGGGTAGATTTCGACTGGAGGGAGGGAGATACAGCTTGCAACGAAAGCCGCTCGCAAGTAAAAGGGTGGCCTCGTCTGCGCGTCATTTCGCGCGCTCATTAAGTCTGTCCCCGCGCGTCAATCGTCAACAGCAGGATCGTTTCGAAGATGAAAACACAACGACTTACGTGCTCCTTTCTCGCCGGCGGCAAAACAGAAATCAACTCCGGCAACCAATCGAAAGCATCGGCAAGAGAGTGGTCGCCGCCGAAAGCAAATTCCTCCTAGCCAAAAGAAGAGACGACCAACAATACTATACTACGAACACGGAACAACTCCCCATAACTACGCTGAGAAAAGCTGCTAGCTTGTGTGCTGGCTACACTGGTCCTGACGAAAACAGAAGGCACGATGGTGTGTTACTGATTCGGTTCCTATTTCTTGGGCCCCTCGACTATCCCCGCAACGAACGTCTGGATTCGCTCGTAGGACATGAAGATGATACCCTGCCCGGGGACAACTCGTCCCAGCCGGGGCACGACCCCCTTGTAGAAGCCCTTTACGCCCTCGGCCTTGATAATCTGTTCAAAGGTCGGTATTATATGGTCGTTTCAGGGGGGGGAGGGGTGTACTCATAGTCGTGCATGCCGTAGTCGTTAGACCATTGACCTCGCATCCCTACAAAGCCGGGACGGAGCACGCCGGGT